AAAGTGGAAAAATAGTTAGAAGCAAATGAAATTGAGGTAAAATTCACAATCTCATAGGAGCAAAATATAATATTACATTTCTAGAATATCATTTATAAAAGAGTCATGTCTTGTAGTATTTATATCTAAAATTTATCTTAAGCTTTTCCTAGACACATTTTACTCACCATACAAAGCAATTTTTAATGTTATGAATGTTCCATTATCACCAATTGATGTACATAGATAAAATAATTAATCCAAACATATAATGTAACATCTAGCCACAAAAATCAATATGAGCTTTGTATTACCTAGTCACATGCTAAAGCAAAGACCAGAGAATTTTCATGCCTCCACCTTCCAATGGCTTTCCTATGGATAAAGCTTATTTTTTTACTTTGCGAAATTATAAAAACATTGGAGAGTAAAGCTAAATATTATATTGCAAATCAGAGAATTGGTATCCACCATTTCAAATAGCTTTATAAATTTACTACGAGAAAATGCATTCATGTATCTAGGCTACTCCACCTAAAAGATATAGTGCAAGTGTATGCCTTTGGTCTAAATTATCTAAAGCTAAAATAGACATATCCAAATCTATTTTATGTAAACCAAAACAAAATTAAGAATCAAATATCGAGAGGAAAAACACATTTCTAATTTAAATTTGCAAAGATAAGCTTTTTTATGCTTCAATCCTATCATCACATCGACTTTTGTAACCTTAAGCACATTCTGTTGGAAAAAACAATACCCACACGCAGCAACCACACACAAAATAGCAAGCTCAAATAAAGAATAAGAACACACAAATATATTTGGTTCAGCCTAACTCAAAATGGCCTATTTCAAACACAATCCACTAACAAATAAATCTTTACAACTGTGAGACTTTTAGAATGAGAAAAGTCTCCTAAAACTCCTTACTCAAAACTTAACCCAAAACTCAATTACACCCTTTAATAGCATATTCACTTAGCTATTTTCTTGGTGTCTAACTCTCTGGGATTACCAAACCAAAACCAAAACATCATATTTATAAATATGAAATCCCTTATACTTTTACTAAACTCTCGATATGGGATACAAGATAAACTCAAACTCACTTAACTTTCGATATGGGATTCTGAGATTTAAGGCAAATCCCAACAAATCTTCTCTTGACTTGAATCTCCAAACACTTCAACAGTATCTGCAAAGCTAACACGCTTACCTTTCTTTTTTTTTTTATCATAGGCATCTCAGCAACTGAGCCTCCATCAAACATGTACAAATGATTATTGACCCTATTCTCTTGTAGAATCACACTACCATTCTTGTACACTTTTAACCAATCAGTACTATCATAATATGTGTACCTTCGATAAGCTAACTCACCCAAAGCAATCAAATTGTAGTGATAACTTGGTACATACCTCACATGACGAAGCATCCTAATAACACCATTGTGAGATCTAAGGCGAACACTTCCAATGCCTTGAATCTGTACTTTTTCTTTGTTAGCAACCACAATATCTTTATACTTTTCATTCTCATCCAACTCCACAAAACAACTCCTATCATTACAAATATGACTGTAACAGTTGAATTTAAAACCCAACCTTTATCACTTTTTAAAGTCTGAGTCTTATCAACACAAGTTATCAAAATAACATCATCATCATCAGACACGACAGTAGCAGTATCACTCTTTTTTTCATCTGATTTTTTATCATCATTCGTCTTTTTAAAAATAGTCATATCTCTTCTCAGCTTCTTACAGCGTACTTGGATATGTCCCTTCTCACCACAATAATAACATTCTACATCACTGTAATCTCTGTCTCTTGACTTGGATCTCCATCTTGATCCATCAATCCTCTTTTGAGTCATCTCTCGATCAAAACCCTCTACAACTAGTGTACTCCCTCTAGATGATAAGCTTTCAGCTCCCATAAACCTTTCATTCTCACGCAATAAGACAGTCACATCATCCAACTTCAAAGTAGACCTGTTTACCAACACAGTCTGAACTAAATGCTTATAAAACTTGGACAAAGATGACAGTAAAATTAAAGCATTCTCTTCATCTTTTAACTCATCAACAGAAATTGCTAGCAATTGAGAAACAAATCTATTAAACTAATTCAGGTGATTATGAAGACTTATACTTTCTTTCATCTTCAGAGAATACAAATTCATCTTCAAACATAATCTATTAGTTAACGACTTTGAAGCATAAATACCTTCAAGCTTATCATACAAACTTTTTGGAGTACTTCTAATGAATACACTGTACTTTACTTCTGAAGCTAAAGTCAATCTAATAGTACTAACAGCCTTCTTTTGAATCCTATTCCAATTAGCATCAGACATTCCTTCAGGCTTACTACTCTCTAATGCCTGATCCAACCCTTGTTGTACTAACAGATCTTGAATTGTACTTTGCCATAACATAAAATTACTCTTTTCATCAAATAACAAAATCTCAAACTTAGGCATAGACATACCAGACATAACTTCTTCAGACATCTTCAAACACTGCTTTGCGATCTCTTGGGCCCACAAACCTTAAACCTTGAACCTCGCTCTGATACCACTTGTTGAAAAAAATAACACCCATACGCAGCAACCACACACAAAATAGCAAGCTCAAATAAAGAATAAGAACACACAAATATATTTGGTTCAGCCTAACTCAAAATGGCCTATTTCAAACACAATCCACTAACAAATAAATCTTTACAACTGTGAGACTTTTAGAATGAGAAAAGTCTCCTAAAACTCCTTACTCAAAACTTAACACAAAACTCAATTACACCCTTTAATAGCCTATTCACTTAGCTATTCTCTTGGTGTCTAACTCTCTGGGATTACCAAACCAAAACCAAAACATCATATTTATAAATATGAAATCCCTTATACTTTTACTAAACTCTCGATGTGGGATACAAGACAAACTCAAACTCACTTAACTTTCGATATGAGATTCTGAGATTTAAGATAAATCCCAACACATGTAACATTTCTTTCAATTTCAATTCACTTTTCATCTAATCAACAAAAGACAACAACAACAAAAAAAAACTCTTATATTACCTATCCAATTAATTAAAAGGAATAAAAACAACAAAAGCTACAAATTCAAAACTGACACTCAAAAGATGCAATCTTCATAGAATCGAACTTTAAAAAGCCACTATTCATATAAAATATTGATGTATTTGTTTGAATCTCTATTTGAATTAGTGATCTACCCATATTATCCCTCTATCTCTTCTTTTCTCCCTGCCTCTCCATTTATTCCTTTAGTGTCGATTGCATCTTCTATCAATGTTGATTAGTGATTTCTCCTTCTTGCATGGTCTCCCCTCTTTCTATTCCCTTCATTTTTTTTTGTTTTTCACGATCATTTGTCTTTAAAAGCTTCTTTATAGTTTCAAAGTTGCTAATTTCAACAACAATAAAATCATTAAAAAAAAAAAAGGAGAAACTTATCGAGAAGTTTTAGTTTTACCCACCTTTAAAAAAAAATTTTAATCTAAAAGCTTAAAAAAAATTTATAAGATGGCCAATAAATAGATGACAAAATGTGTAAAGATCAAGAGCCTCAATAAATAGTAAATGAATAGTAAAAAATTGGAAAGTTTTTTTTAAATAATACAGTTATATCTAATATATAATAAATGATATGATTTTAGTTTCAAGCTTAATTAGTAATGTATGAGATTCTTAATTTAAGATTTTTTTAATTTTTATTAGAATTTTTAGTTATTTATTATCAAAACATTTAAAATGTTAAGGATTACAACTTTTAAAAAATTTTGTAATTATTTATTGGTGAATTTTCAAATAATCATGTTTATTATTTATTATTTGTTTATTATTATGTACTTGATAAATTAAATAATTTTACTAATTCTAATTAACAATAATTTTAGCTCATTAGCAACATAATAATGAAAAAAAAAGTATACTAAATTTATCGAATAAAAAATATTAAAACAATTAATATTTGTTTATGATAAAAAATAAATAAAATAAAGAACTTGTTTTCGGTTTTTGAGTTTAACAAAATCAATAAAAAAAAGTTTACTTCCGATGAATTTAGCCAGCCCACCTCTTTTTTTTTTTTTTTTAATTTTAACTTTACCTTTTTTCATGCCAAAGTCAAAATAAAGCATGGTTTTCCAGAAAAACCCGATAAAAAATCTTTCATTTTTTCTTTTCTTTTTTGTGTGTCACCGTCACTCAACCCTCCCCCCTATAATTCATTTTTGTAAGTAGCTTTTCTGTTGCGGGCAAACCTTTTTTTTTTTTTACTTTATTTTCTCCTCTGTCCCTTCCTTTTGCATTTTCGTTCTTTTTCATTTTAACTTCTTTTGAAAACTCTCTTTTTCTTCCCTAAAAACCACAACTGGTGTCTGCCATCTGGACTCCGTCATCTTCTTTTCCCACCTGCCTACGTCATCTCTCAACTTTATTCCCTCTTTTTCATTTCTATTAAGTTTTTCTATTCTTTCATTTTGTTCACAAAAAGTATCCTAAACAATGAGTGAAAATACAATTTTGTTTTTTAACACGTGTCAAGCAAAGGAGGAACAATTTGTAAACAGTAAATCTTATAATTCATTTTATAGTATGTCATACATAGATAAATTATATGAACCTCCTTGATTTGGCACTACATGGAATGGAAGATAGGACCGTAACCGTAGTTGAGGACTTGAAGAATGGACAAATGTCGCGAGATCCAACCCACTAGACCTTGGGACACGTGTACGGTTGGCACGTGGGGTGCATGACCCATAATTGCGTAGGAAATACTAATTTTTATTCATTCAAGCGTCGTTAGTTATGGGAAGGTGAGGTGTGTCAATCAACGCCTGCACATGCAGATCGTGGTGGGAGACGGATTGAAGAGTCGGCAATCAAAAAGCAAACCTTTAACACTCATAATAACAAACTCTATCCACACTCCACGTGTCCTCTATCTATTGGGTGTTACGGTTAGCGCACCAAACACACCCCTAGGCTGCTTGCCTTGGGCAAGTAGCTTAATCTATAAGGTCTCTTGTATCCTTCATCACTCTCATCACTCTTGCGTTCTGGTCTATTTCACTCTCAAATCATAATTCATCGTTTCATCGGTTTTGCTTTGTGCCTATCCTTTCAGTTCAGATCTGGGATTTTCAGCTCCAAGCTATGGCGGAGAAGGTTTCTAAATCTTATCTCTTTTTCTATATAGTTTCTTTCTGTACTTAACAGCTAACACCCATTTCGTTTTCTTTTATTGTTCTTCTGGTCCGCTGTTTCCCAGTGACTCGCAATGCATTTTTTGGCTGCGACTTTTTTTTTTTTAAAATGTTATTATTCCTATTTTTCAGTTTTGTGGTTCTTTCTTGTTCTTTTCCTTTGTTGTTGAATAGCTTATCTGCCCAATATTCTTCCATGTCAGAACCTGAATCTTGTATTTCCCTTTCCCTGTCTGTAAAGCAGAAATATACTTTGTTTGCTAACGGTGATGTATAAAATTATTTACTCTCTCTTTCATCATACATGATTAATTGCCTGTATTATTTTATTTTTTCCTTTTTATTTTCAAATAAGAAACCCAGTCTGATATGCGTACGTACTTAGGTGACAACAATGGTGCTGAAGGTCGATCTTCAGTGCTGTCGCTGCTATAAGAAGGTCAAGAAAGTACTCTGTAAATTCCCTCGTGAGTTTCTATTTTGATTTTTATGCTTCTCTTTGAGTTTCTGTATTTAATATTTAATTTCAACATAGTTAGTTAATTGATCATTAACCTGGAGGCGAGAAGTGGTCTGAGTTAATATTTGATGATGGCTTTTGCGAACAAGAGAAATACGAGACCAGATATATGACGAGAAGGCCAACACGGTGACAATTACGGTGGTATGCTGCAGTCCAGAAAAGATCAGGGACAAGATATGCTGCAAGGGTGGCGGATCCATCAAGAGCATTGAGATCAAACCACCACCACAACCACCTCCAAAACCCAAGGATCCTGAGAAGAAACCTGAAAAGCCTAAAGAACCAGTGAAGAAACCCGAAAAGCCCAAGGAACCAGAGAAGAAACCTGAAAAGCCTAAAGAACCAGAGAAGAAACCCGAAAAGCCCAAGGAACCTGAGAAACCCAAAGAACCACCCCCGAAACCACCAGCGCCAGCGCCAGCACCAGCACCGGCACCAGCACCGGCACCGGCACCAGCACCGGCGCCAGCTCCAGCGCCAGCACCGGCGCCGGCACCAAAGCCTCCAGCACCAGCACCAGCACCAAAGCCTCCAGAAACGGCTCCTCCACCACCAGTGGCCTGTCCCCCGATTGGATTTTGTTGCACGGAATGTTATCATGGACATGGTGGGGGCCCTTGCTATTTTGGTGGACCGCCTCCACCACCACGCCCATGCTATGAGACTTATGGTAGGCCAGTTTATGATAACTGGGGCTGCGGCGGCTACAAGTATATGAGCCGCGGTGATTGTTTTAGTGAAGAAAACCCACAAGCTTGCTCAATCATGTAACGTGGAACATGCTACTAGGGGCATCGTCAATTCATGAATTCATTACATCACTGATAGTAATCTTCTTAGTTGTCTCTGTTGAATATTCAGTCACTTTTTTTAACTGCATGTGGAATTGTTTTTTTTTTCATGATTATATAGAGGTCGTATAGGTCGTATAAGTCATATAGGAAGAATAATAAGGTTGGCGGTGACCGGTGGTGGATAATTGGTGGTTCATTCCTGGCTTAGAAAAAGTTTGTTTCCATAATTTTTAAAAATTAATAAAAAAGTAAAGTCTTTGTCGACGATTTGCTTTCACACGGTGCGTTTCCTTCCCTTTCAGTTTCTCTTTTTTGTGTATTACTAGATCAGTCCGTGTCTTTCTGATCTGATAAAAGTATTGCAAATCCAAATCCCGCTGGGTCATGAAATTTTACAAGAGTTTTTTAAAGGTTTCAAGAAAAGTTGGGAGCTGGTAGCTACTTTGAATTGCTAAGCCGCTAGCTAGTCATCTAGAAACTTTAGCTTCAGCTTTCATGTCATGCGACGTAACGCCTTTATACCTCTGACAATACATGCTTAAACGAAAACAACACCCATTCAATTAGCTTGGGGAATCAAGAACAAGGTACGTTGTTAATCTAATGTCATGTAACTTCTAATAATTGTGAATAATTATATGCATAAATTAATAGTCTAATATACACTATACTGCTATAAAATAAAGTCAAAGAGTTTTTCAGTCATCCATATAGGCATTTTAAGTGAAAAATATGAATACAGAAAGATAACCTTGAATGCTTCGATCTTTCATAAAATTCTTCATTTATATCATCAAGCAACCTATAAAATTTTAATGCTTCTCCTCTATGTTGTTGGTCAGGTACACCTATCCCAGGTTCACCAAATTCATTCATTTCAACAATGGACTAATTAAAACCCATCATTTTAGGGAGAAAGATTATGAAAATGTTGGTTATGAATGTTAAAAGCATCTCGCAACATGCCTTCAATGTCATCCGCTATAAAAGGATCATGTTGGTATTGGAGAGCCCTTGAAGCTGAAAGAACTCTAGTAAAAGACTTTGACAGTACAGACTCTCCATGAAAATATCAATTAACATATCTCGAAAGAAATTCAATACAAATTAAATGTTCGAAAATAACTTGACATATTTTTCACTTGATATTAGCACACTTCACACTTAGGCATAATATCATATTATCTTCACTTCTATTCTCAAATACAAAATTAAGAAAAATTTTCACTCTATCTCTATACTCTTAACTTAATCTTGACTTTTGTATTTAACTCTTATCCATTTAATACTTGTTACATTATCAGACCAAATATATATAAATAATTTATATGAAAATGAACATGTAAAATACTTAAGTTTACTATGTTTTAAACAAAAGATAATAACAAGATCAGTACTTACAGAAAATGAGAACTCCTTATTGTGAAGCATTTTATCAGCTACCTAATATTATGAATATTAAAACTCTACTGCTAACATAGATAGTACTAAAGAGAATTTGTAGTTGGGGTTAAAATAAGGTAAAATAGGTACAGAGAAAACCCAAAAAAAGAAAAAAATGAAAGGGAAAGAGAAGTGGATGATGGGTTACAAATAGGTATTTGAGGAAGGTGGGTTTTGAAGAAAATTATTTAAACTAAAAGAAAATCGCGAATTGCAAAAGCTAAAAGAATAGTTGAATGAAGTAAAAGCTAAAGTAAATAACTAATGAATAGTCAAAATAAAGTTCTAAAAGATAATGCTCGAATACTAAAAGCTGAAAAAAAGAGAAAGTAAATTGTAGTTGGTCTGAAAAGAGAAATAGTAAAATAATGAAGATGAAGCTTGAAGTTGATGATTTGATGTGCTAAGTTTGGGGATAATTTTATTGGACCAAATTATTGAAGGCATTTACTATGAAAAATACCTTCAATAATTTTCTCTTAAATATTTTTTGAATATATTATAGGCATATTCACCAGAGTTGTAATAGAATTGTTTGAGATTATTAAAGGCGTTTACCCTCAAAAATGCCTTTACTAATTTCATCTAATTTTTATGACGTATTTATTAAAAGTATTTTTTGCATAATACACCTTCAATAATTTTTTCATTTTTATTTATGAATATCAGTGAAGGTGATTTTTACTAAAAATACCTTTAATAATTTTTTTAAAAATTGTTTGAGATTATTAAAGGCGTTTTTTATATAAAACGCCTTTAATATTATACTACTAAAATTTTAAAGGGTTATTAAAGGTGTTTATTCAAAAAAAATACCTTGACTAATTCATTTTATTTTTTGAAAGAATTTATTGAAGGCGTCTTCTAGTGCAAAATACCTTCAATATTTCACTACTTAAATTTTAAAACGGTTAGTGAAGGTATATATTCTAGAAAAATACCTTCACTAATTTCATTTAATTTATGTACATAATTATTAAAGGTATTTTTTGAGAATAAATGCCTTTAATAATTTTATTTTAAAAATTTTTGAGATTATTAAAGGTGTCTTCTAGTGAAAAATGCCTTCAATATACCAATACTCAAATTTTAAAATGATTAGTGAAAGCATTTATTCCAGAAAAATACCTTCAATAATTTCTTTTAAATTTTGTACATAATTATTGAAGGCATTTTTTTAGAACAAATATCTTCAATAATTTTTTTTTAAAATTTTTTGAGATTATTAAATGTGTCTTCTAGTGAAAAATGCATTCAATAATTTACTATTCAAATTTTAAGATGGTTAGTGAAGGCATTTATTCTAGAAAAATGCCTTCACTAATTCGTTTTAATTTTTGTCCAACTAAAAATTATTGAAGGCATTTTTTAAGAACAAACTCATTCAATAATTTCTTTTTAAAAATTTTTAGAATTATTAAAGGTGTTTTTTAGTATAAAACACCTTTAATAATGTTAAGGGATTTTTTAAAGTAATTTGCTATAATTGTTTCAAGGAATTTACTAAAGACGTTTTCTGCATAATACGTCTTCAATAATTCTCTCCATTCTTATCACAGGAATATCAGCAAAGGTAATTTTCTACTAAAAATGCCTTTAATAATTTTTGTTCAGAATTATCAAACGCATTTTTTAAGAGAAAACGCCTTTAATAATTTTCTTTAAAAATTATTTTTTGGATTACTAAAGGAATCTTTTAGTAAAAAATCCCTTCAATAATCTCCAACTAAAATTTTAAAGAGATTATTGAAGGTTTTTTTTTAGAAAAATACCTTTAATAATAATTTTTATATTCATTCCCCTGTTTTGAACATCGAAATCACAAGCTGTTAGTATAGAGAACGATTAAAAGTTGCATTAATCAACCAAACCAAACCCATAAACACATTTCTATCAGACTTTTGGTTTAGTATAGAGAATGATTAAAAGCTACATTAATCAACTAAACCAAACCCATAAACACATTTCTATCAGATTTTTGGTTTCTTTATCCTTATCATTATCACCGACTTTTAACAAATCAATGGCGCACACCTTTCTGTTTACCAGTATGTTTTTATTTTTTTGTTTACTGTATTATTTATATTATTTGATAGATCTATTTTTTTTTGTTCCTTACTATTTACATGTGCATATATATTTTTATTAATTTCATCGTAAGCATAGTCATCCAATCACCTTTCATTGCATGTATGTTGTTTCTGTGTAGTTTTCTTTAAATATTGTGATTTGCTGAATCTTATTGTGTGATATTGTTTTGCTGAATGTTATTGTATGATATTGGTATGCTGAATCGTATACTGAATGGTTTGCTAAATGGTGTTTCTGAATGGTTTACTGAAGGGTGTGTCTGAACACATTACTGATTGGTTTACTGAATGAAGTTTTTGTACGTATTATGGTATTGGTTGTATTTAATTACATACAATGTTAAATTTAGACAATCATTTTGTGTAATTCGTATAATTATGATCAAAATCGTAGGTATTATGAACTCTAAACAACATTATTATTCTTCTATTGAACATGCATAAGACACACTTATAGGCCAAAAAAGAAAGGGAAGAGGCCCAAATAAATAAATTAAAGTGAGTGACACAAAAATTCACATTAACTTCAATCAAAGTGCGTAGCCTGTGTCTGAAGGAGCTGCCAAGTTGGCTATTCATATTGGAGCCATCGTCTGTAGTAGTATTTCAATTACGTACACCAATTACGACGAATTCTCGATGATCTAAAAGATGATATATGGCAGTCGATTTTGATGTGTTTATTTAACTATTTAGTAAAATTTATTAAATGATCATTTAATTGAAATTCAATGTGTTCATACTAATTGTGTTAAATTATTTAGGAACGGTTCGACATACCAATTGACTATAAAAAGATTTTATTGCAATTTTTTGGGAAAGCATTTAAAGACTTTAAAGTAGATTGACAACCCAATATATTTTACTGTTGGCTGATCAAGGTGATGTATTGGCTATTCCACCTACGTCATATGCAAATGTAATAAGTGTTAAAAATTAGACAAATTTTGTTCGATATTGGCTTTCAGAAGATTTTTCAGTTCGCAAATCCATTACCAAAAATTTTTTTTATAAGTCTTTATGCAATATATCCTTTGATCTTAATATGTGATTAATGTAATTTCTTTCTTTTGTAAAAAATAAAAAAAACCAACGAAACATTTGAGCCAAACAACAATACCACTATCGGATAACGAGAAAGGGATATGAAAATATAAAGTATGGGCTTGTATGTATTCGCACACTTATTTTATACTCATTAATGAATATTTATGAATATTCATTTCATACATTCTGATTCTTATATTACGGTAATTTAATAGGAATTAACGAGTTTTGGCATTGAAGTTTTCAAATGAGATGTCTGAAAACAAGGACATTTACGAAAGGATGGATCTTTTACAAATAAAGCAACCAAAAAAATGGTAAAAAGATTGTATGTATAACTACTTTTTTAATATTATATATGATTGGCATTGTGGTTGTATGCATGACTATATACTAGCTTGTATAGATTTGTTGTTACAACTCATCTTATTATTAGTGTGGAAGAAGTTAAAAAATTTTGTGAACTGGATAAATTATCAGCTGTTGATATTGTCGCTTATATGAGGTTAGCTTATAAATACAAATATGCACATTCAATATGTATTAATTTATATTATGGTGTAATACTAACTAGCATTATTGATTGTTATCGTGCAACTTTTTATATATAGAGCTCAAAATGAGACAGTTGACCAACGGATTTAGATTCGTTGACTCTAACTTCATTAGTGAGCAAAGTGACACAGTCGTTTATCATGCTAATCATATGATTGAATGCATGAAAAGGCTGACTGATTATTATTTGCTCATATATAATGCACAGTAAGTTATATTACAACCTTAATTATTTTAACTTTACCTAAATCTGATCTGATGTGTAGTCTAAGTATATCATTGTTATTATTTTACAGTCGTCATTGAATGTTTATTGTGATTGACACCAAATCCTTAACGCCATACATACTTAAATTAATTAATCCAACGACGGTGCCTAATCCCGATATTCAAACTTTTATAAAGAGTTATTACACTTTATTATATTATATATCTTCTGTTTCTTCATAAGTAATTTTATTTATGTATTAAGTAAAATTTTTTTCAATTTAGGATAATATCTGCATTCGATAAGAAGGCAAAGAAATTGAAATGGGTGTCATTATCGGTAAATGTGAAATTTATTCTTTTATGTTGAGTTTGTGTAGATAAATATTTTTTAAACTCACTCAATTTAATTTTCAGGTACCTCGTCAACCCGGTATACTGAATGTGGATATTGTATCCTTTGTTTTATGCAAAAGATAGTTTTATATGATTTTATGACCATACCATTCAAGGTTAATATAAATTTCATAAACTCATTATATCTTCAAAAAAATAAAAAACTAAATTATGTTATCATTTATTAACATTTACTTCTAATATTTTTTTTAGTTGGAGAGTAAAGAAAGCTTCACGGTAGAGAAACTGGATGAAGTCCGTAAAGAATGGTGTATGTATTGTCATTTATTAATGTTGATAAACCTTGAGGTTAGACATTGTTGGTTGAATATAAATATATGATGAATAAATTTTTATAATGTTTTTAACATGCCATGTTGAATGGAAATTTTAAGTTTGTAGATTCGAGTATTGGTTTAATATTATTGGTATACTTAATATGAATATACTATATGTACTTAATATATTATTGAGTACGATTATTTCAAAAAAGTATATTAATATGACAACGTTATCAATTTTAAATTCGAATGTGTGGTCAATTTATTGAAATACAACAATGTTCATTATGTAAATTTCAAAATGTAATTCATAGTATCACATATATAAATCAAATATTTTCTAAATATAAATATACAACTGACTTCAAATGTTTTCTAGGCATAAACCTACAACTGACTTGACATATACAATATCAAAAATATTTTTTTGATGGGATTAATGAAGGCATTTTTAGCAAGAAAACACCTTAAATCATCCATAACAAAATGTTATTGAAGGTGTTTTCAACCAAAATCGCCTTTAATAATTCCACCTAAAAATATATTGTGTGGAATAATAAAAGTGTTTTGAGACAAAAACGCTTTCAAAAATCCATTTCAAATATTGTGTATAGATTATTGAATGCATTTTTTTATAAAAACTGTCTTTAATAATTTTTGTTAAAAATTTATTGATTGGATTATTGAAGGCGTTTTCACCCAAAAACGTCTTCAAGAATCCATTCCATATTTTTTCTATAGATTATTAAGGGCATATTTAACAAGAAAACACCTTCAATAATCCCTAACAAAATATTATTAAAGGCATTTTTTACCAAAATCGCCTTTAATAATTCTACCTAATAATTTATTGTGTGAAATAGTAAATGCATTTTGGGCAAAAAATACCTTCAAGAATCTGTTCTAACTTTTTTGTATAGATTATTGAAGGCGTTTTAAAAAAAATCACCTTCAATAATACCAACTAAAAATTAATTTAATGGATTATTGAAAGCGCTTTCGACCAAAAACAACTTCAATAAATCTGTTTCATACTTTTCATATGGATTATTAAAGGCATTTTTCTACTGAAAACGGCTTAAATAATCCTTAACAAAATGTTATTGAAAGCGTTTTTGAAAAAAATCACCTTCAATAATCTGACCATTCAAATTTATCGTGTGAAATATTAAAGGCATTTTGAGTCAAAAATACCTTTAAGAATCCATTCTAACTTTTGTGTATGAATTATTGAAGGTGTTTTTGACAAAAATAGCCTTTAATAATCCAATTTAAAAATTTATTGATTGGATTATTGAAGGTGAATTCAGCAAAAAACGCCTTCAAGAATTGATTCAATATTTTTCCTATAGATTATTAATGGCATTCTCTGCCAAAAATGCATTCAATATTTTTTTCAAAAATTTTTAAAGCAATTGTGAAGACATTTTTGTCCAAAAAATGCCTAAAATAATCAATTACAAATAATTTCTACAAAAACTCAAAAAAGGCTAAAGAGAAAGATCAAACCTACCATATTATGGTTAACATTCGTACGATCATAAAATTTTGATATAATATTTATTAAATGCATTTTTGACCAAAAACGTTTTCAATAAACCTGTGAAATTTTTTGGTAAAATTATTAAAAGCGTTTCTTGTAGAAAACATTTTCAATAATCATATATATTTTTTTTATGAGAAAATTATTGAAGGCATTATCTGTCAAAAACGTCTTCAATAATTCTTTATCAATTTTTTTTAATGAAATTATTCAAGTTATTTTTTACCAAAAACGTTTTTAGAATTTACTTAAAATTTTAAGATAAGATTATTCACGTTAGTTGATAAATATCACTAATTTAAATCTTATATGACGTTTATAAATAACGTCGTTATTTAAATATTTAATGACGTTTTAATAATAAATATTTTAAATTTTATTAAAACATCAAAATTAATTACATACGTAAGTGAAACATTACTATAAGATTGTCACTAATTTTTTATTTTCTTGTAGTGTGAGGTAGGTGGATCAAGTAGTGAACAATTAAATGTTTGAGATTGGATAAATTTTTAAGATGCGGAATATCGAAGGAATCGTTAAACATCATAGCTTCTATCAAATTATTTAAATTAAAATAATAAAGGATGGCGTTGCCATTATGGGTGGTGGTCAGCTCAGCACACTAGCTGCTAGTGCCTGAACTTGCTTGGGCAGAAAAAGTTAAATTAATTAAGCGCACCATAAAAACATATACTATCAAAAGATTTTCATTTTTGAGGAAGGATATTATTAAATTGAAGTATTGAACAATTTTATTTGGGGGGTCGGTGGGGATGTCCATACGAAAATTTACTAGTTGTTACATTGTATAAAAGAAAGTAATTTTAACATTATATATAGGCGCATAACTTAGATGAGTTTTTTAAAGTAAAATTTATGAAATTTTTAATTAAAAATGATTCAATAAAATTTTAATAAAAAATTTAAATTAATAAATTGATAAACTTTAATAAAAAATTAATAAAATATAAAAACATATTTAAAATACAGTTTATAATATAAATTTGATAGATATTTATACAATGATAAAAAATATCAAAATTTTCACTAAAAATATTTTATAAAATATGTATCAAAATATATTAATTTTTTAAAAAATTATACACAGTTAATATATGTAATAAGATATTTCAACATATCAATTTTGATTTTTTAATTTTTTATTTAATTACTTTTAATAAAAAAATTTCACAAACTTAAATTTTTTTAAGTAATTAAATAAAAAAATTAAAAAATCCAATAGTCCATGTAAACGATAAGCATTGAGAAGACCCATAAAAAACTTTAGCCCAATCTCTTATCTTGTTAAAGGAATAAAGTTAAGAGTTGTTTTTTTTTTTTTTTTTTTCCAAAGACTTAATAGTTTTGCGTTACTCTTATTTATGAGATTTGAATTGATCACAAGAAATTAAATTGAAAATTTCAAATTATAATCATAGTGGTTTTCTTAAATATCAGCAAAACTAGTCTTATTCACCTTATAATGTCCTACTTCAATGTATGACATCTTTATATTGACATATTATATCACAACGAAGATGTTTATTCAAACACAAATTACAACTGAAATGATGAAATTCATCTATATATATATATATATCTATTTTTCAATTACCATACCGCTAATCAGAATGTATTTTTTTTTTTTTTTAAATGGATGGATTGGTTGAACTTTGAAACATAGTTTTTGACGGACCACATAGAAAACCTGAGCAATGAGCACCTAAGTCCCAACAAAAAACATTTTGCAAAAACATTGAGTATACATGAAAGTACTTTTTATTTATTTGTTGGTAAAGGTAAAGTAGTATTTGGTTTAGTACTCAACTATATTTTCGAATTTGAGTAAAAGATTGAATAAAACTTTTATTCTCTTATTGCATTACAGTAAAATTCTAATTATTTATTTTATTTATAATTATAAGCTTTTAAAATTAATGAAAAAAGTAAAATTGAAATTACGAAAAACTACATTTGTTTTTTGACACTACTAACATATATGTGATTAATCATAATTAGTTGTTCATTATTTTCATTGGAGTTTTTTTTTTCTAGAACAATTTAAATTATGACCCTATAATTATAAAAAAAATTTATAGTTTTATTTAAATGCAACAAGAGGTTAGAGGCTTAATGCAATTTAAGTGGTAAAATTAAAAAAAAAAATTATCTATGTTTAATAATGAGATTTTGCGAAAATCTATTCAAAAGTCGTCTATATCTTTTGATGGTTTTTGCCCTGCTTGACTAAGTTTTGGACAATATTTTTGAAAGTTGAGGTTTAATTATAGAAATATTTTAATTTAATTTTAAGTTTAAAATATTAACATTCAAGTAATTTTTTTAAGATTTTAATATTTTAAAATATTTTCAGACCTATGAAGGTCGGCCGGCCCGGCCCAGATCAGACTCAGAGTTTGAGTTGTGTTGATAAGGGAAAAAAAAAGGCCATTCCTTTGTGTCGATAGATTCTGGACTCTGTCTCTTGACTCTTCTCTTTTCTCTTTCTATTCTCTAGTGACAGTGACGAGTGTATAAGTTAGCCAAAGCTTAAACAAACAGATAGAAAAATGGCGTATCATCATTTCTGTTCTTCACCTTATTCTCTTTTCCATGACTGCCACTCTCTCTCTGCTTCAATCAAAGCAAGACCTATAAGAAGCTCCCCTCCTCTAAAGCCGCTTTCCCACTCGTTTCCATCTAAAACCTCTATCCAAGTAACCCATGTCTCCTTGCCAGACGCCAGGACCCAAGAGCCCCAAAACCTTCCCAAACTCTCCAATTCTCACTACCCAGATGACAAAACCAAAAGCTATGTGTGGGTCAATCCCAGGAGCTCCAGAGCTTCACGGCTCAGGCAATTGTCTTATGATTCCAGGTACACTTCTCTGGTAAAAGTAGCTGAGTCTTTGGATTCTTGCAATCCAAATGAACAAGATGTTTTAACTGTTTTGACTAGTTTAGGTAACGATGTTTCAGAACAAGATGCTGTGGTTGTTCTCAATAACATGTCAAACCCTCACACTGCATTGCTTGCTCTTAACCATTTCCAAAGGATATTAAAGAAACCATGTCGAGAGGTCATTCTTTATAATGTCACCATCAAAGTTTTTAGAAAGTCTAAGGATTTGGATGGAGCTGAGAAACTGTTCGATGAAATGATTCAAAGAGGGGTTAGGCCTGATAACGTTACCTTTTCCACTTTGATTAGTTGTGCTAGAGTATGTGCTTTGCCCGTTAAGGCTGTTGAGTGGTTTGAGAAAATGCCTACATATGGGTGTGATCCTGATGATGTCACTTACTCTGCCATGATTGATGCCTATGGCCGGGCTGGAAATGTTGATATGGCCTTCACCTTGTATGACCGTGCTAGAACAGAGAAATGGCGTATTGATCCTGTTACTTTTTCAACTTTGATTAAAATATATGGAATAGCTGGAAATTATGATGGATGTTTAAATGTTTATGAGGAAATGAAGGCCTTAGGTGCTAAACCTAATTTAGTTATATATAATACTTTGTTGGATGCTATGGGGAGAGCCAAGAAGCCTTGGCAGGTCAAGACAATTTACAAAGAGATGACAGCCAATAGATTTTCACCAAATTGGGCAACCTATGCTGCACTCTTACGAGCTTATGGAAAAGCTCGATATGGTGATGATGCTCTTAATGTATATAAAGAGATGAAGGATAAGGGATTGGAGTTGACTGTTGTTCTCTACAACACCCTTTTGGCCATGTGTGCCGATGTTGGATATGCAGATGAAGCTTTTGAAATTTTTGAAGACATGAAAAAATCTGGGACTTGCAAGCCTGACAGTTGGACATTTTCATCTTTGATTACCATATATGCTTGTAGTGGTAAAGTTTCAGAGGCCGAGGGGATTGTGAATGAGATGTTGGAAGCAGGTTTTGAACCCACCATTTTTGTTTTGACATCACTTATCCAATGCTATGGGAAAGCCCAGCGTACTGATGATGTTGTGAGGACATTTAATCGAGTTTTGGAATTGGGGATAACTCCAGATGATCGGTTTTGTGGTTGTCTTTTGAATGTGATGACGCAGACACCTAGAGAAGAACTTCCTAAGCTGACGGATTGCCTTGAGAAGGCTAATTCGAAACTAGGTAATGTGGTAAAACTTTTAGTGGATGAGCAAAATGGTGAAGGGAATTTTAAGAAGGAAGCATCTGAACTTTTAAATTATATTGGTTCTGATGTAAAGAGGGCTTACTGTAATTGTTTAATTGATCTATGTGTTAACCTAGATCTGTTGGAAAGGGCTTGTGAGCTGCTAGAGCTGGGGCTTTCCCTTGAGATTTATGCTGATATACAATCTAGGTCTCAAACCCAGTGGTCCTTGAATCTAAAGAGTCTGTCTATTGGAGCAGCTCTGACTGCATTGCATGTTTGGATTAATGATTTGACAAAAGTAGTGGAGTCTGGGGAGGAGCTACCCCCATTGCTTGGAATCAATACTGGACATGGGAAACACAAATATTCGGAGAAAGGTTTGGCAACTGTCTTTGAGTCACATTTGAAGGAACTAAATGCTCCATTCCATGAAGCCCCAGACAAGGTTGGCTGGTTTTTGACAACAAAGGTTGCAGCCAAGTCATGGTTGGAGTCAAGACACTCACCTGACTTGGTGGTTGCTTAGGTAGTGTGTTCATCAAGAAGTGTTTGTACCGCGGTCAGTTCTTTTCTTGCACATGTAATGTCTAGAATGTATTATTTCTCAAAATTTTCTTTCCTATATTATTGGTGTTCTCTAATTTGATGGTGGAAACTTTTTAGTACCATGAGACGGTATATTTCTGTACCCTGATGTTTTACAAAGTTAATGAAATTAGGAAATACTATGGAGTCTTCCAATGGTTTGGCCACCTATGTTTATGGGGATGAGATTCCCTCCATTACTTTGTGCTTATGATATGATTCTCGAGTATCTTGATAAAATAAGTGCATATTTGGGTGTTGATAAACTATTGAATTAGTAGGCGTTAGAGGTAGATTGGATGGTCTGTGGATAAACTGTATTGCGGAAGCAACGGCACCTTGCCCTGGATGTTGCTGCACACTTTCTGACTGGTGATGGATGAAAGATGCCTTACCTTACCAAATGTTAAAAAAATATATATAGGGTTTATGCATCAAATAAGCAAAACGCTTTAGTTTTGCACATGATTATGAAAGGAAAATACTAGTAGCGAGTATCACATGTTGATGCTAACAATAGCATGTGATAATTGACGAATGCCGGCTAAAAAGCAGATGATTGTTCGCCTAATGCCTCGTCATGTAAACCGTCAGTCATAGACTCTCGGTATTCTTACACTACTACATTTTTTTCCTTTTTGCCATTGATTAAATTGTAAAATGAGAGAGGGAAAGAATAAGAAATGTTTTACTCTGTGATTCCCAAACCAAAAATAAGTAGGAAGTTGACTTTTCACTAAATTTTAATTTCTAAGAGCCTATAATCCAATGGCCCGTGGAATTTCATTGACCTTATTGTAATTAATATCATCAAAGTGTTGGTCCTTTGCAAATTTATTCCCGGATCATTGACCTGCCAGTTCCTTAACCTATAAAAAAACTCACACGAAAATGATGCCTGTTATTAATGTAATGCAATTGGGTCTAAACTTTGAAAATGGATTATCCAATAATGAACAGAGTGATGGCTGGGACGTCGAACTGTCTGGGACGTGAAAGATTATAAAGTTGATTAGAGTCCTGATTCAAAGAATCAATGAAGCATGGGGAACTGCATAAACCATTTGTTCTCTCCGGCGGACAAGGCTAAAGTTCTCATATGTAATGAAGGAGAAAATAGAGCCTCAACGCTAGTCAAGGACGTCCCTTGTGGCCCTTACCATGGCTATGAGTTGGTCCACTATTCTCTGTCTCATTCGCTGTTACCTCCTAGCACCGAACCTGGACCTGGGGAGGCTCGTGTCTCCTGCCACATCTCATGCAGCCTCATCACCATTCAATCTCTCTCAAATTTATCAAAAATGAAAGCTGCCGAGGACGTAGTATAAAGATTCTGGTTACTAGGCAGCAACTTGAGTTTCTCCTCAGAGACGCAAAGGTGTTTCAGTCTATGAAAAATATAGCCATCCAACCCTCAGGGACTTTTAAGCGAGGGAACCGGAGATGGCGGCCATCTTTATCTGCCATTCCTGAGGTACTTGATTTTTAAAACTATAAAGGATTGCTGCCTGTTAAATTTTCCTGTCCCATTTTTATTCAGAGGAACTGTATAGTATTTCGTAAAAGTTATAGATAGTAGCCGGGGAGACTGTTTCTGCCACGTTTTCTTGCAGTACGTCCCCTCGCCCTGATATTTTGTGATTTTCTGTTGTAGAAGCAGTTATGATTCTATCAATCTAAAGTGATATGTGTGTTTGAACTTCGAAGCATGGTAGCAAATTTATCGTCTGTACAGAAAAATTGGCTAGGAAAATATTTCGAAAGGAAAAAGCAGAAGATAATGGACAAAGGAACCCGCATAGTTTTAATGATAGCCACTAGTAACAAGTGCTCTCATTCTTTTAATATTGCAACTTGCGACCACTGTGAGGAAAATTTGTTTTTTACCAGCCATTGCAAGCTGTAAGGTGTAGTTAAACTGTCGTCCTATGCCCATTCAAGTCCTTTCAGTCCACTACATCAAGTCGTGTTCTTGCCTACTAAAATTCGACTGTAACTTGGATACTGTTTTCGGGTTACCCATGTTCTGCTAAGACTTTTATGTTGATGTGATTCTCCCTAGAGGCTTGTGCTTTACTAGTCTCAGTTCTTTAAGACTTTCACCTTTCCCCCATCACTGTTTTCCCTGTTAAGTTGCACTTTCTGAATACTTTTACAGTTCGGATTCTACATCTAGTATTCACTAAAACAGAAATTGCAGTTCTAGAAAAGTAGGAAAATAAACCAAAGGAATCATATTGAATAATCATTTATGCAAACCTCAAGCATTAGAAAGCACTATTGGATATGATCCTCGGATATTTCAAGGTCAGATCTCCAACCAACTGCCCAACCCTTCTCTTTTACGAACCCAATATCAACAATCAGAAACTTTATTTTTAACTAGTTACCACTTCCATCCGCAAAAACATTCAATATTTACATTGAAAATCAGAAAACATGGAAAACGAATCAAATGAATCCCAAATTTTCTTCAAAATCCACCATCCATGGGAATCTTCAACATGTTTGGCTTAACCTGCTACATCCAAACCATCCAATGCTTTAAAAGATCATGAGCAACGTCAATTTAGTAATAACAGATAAATGCATCATTAAGAGCAACAATGTTTGCAATAAAATATCTTACTGATATGTGTGTGTGTGTGTATATATATATATATATATATAGAACCAACCTTCTAGACGAGTTGATGTTTTTCATCTTTTTGGTATCATCCATTTTGGCTGATCTATTTTCCTTTTCTTTGGCTACTGTTTCTCTCTTCACTCGTTTAGATTCCACTTCCATGGCTCTTGAGAATGCTTCAACCTTCTTCATAAGCATCTGTAAAGAATTTTATCTTTCAGTAACCCATGCATTGAGTATCTAGAAAGAGAGAGAGAGAGAGCGAATTTACTTGTACTTCACCTTTATTTCTTCATCTTTAGCATTCAAACTATTATCTTTAGCCTCACAAAACATCCTTAGGTGAATAACCTCTTTCTGAAGCCTATCATACAAAAACCCTGAAACCATATCCTCAGCATTGCAATCAGCATTTCCTCTGTTTTCTGTCTGTTCATTGCTACCTCCATTGTTTCTTATTTTAGCTGAATCTATCGCGTTACCATCTTTACCTATTTTAGTTTCCGCGTTTACCTTCATTTCTGCGTTTTCCTTCTCACTACTATCAGCAACCTTACACCTAGACGACCACAAATTTTTTCTCAGCATGTTTTCTCCTGATGCAGCCCTCTTTTCCAAGCTGCTAGCTTGTTTTATTCCGTTATTAGCATTGGCTGTTTCAGTTTCTACACTTGGCCGCTGCAGTAGAGAACTTCTAATGATGGTGGAAGCCCTTGGCTGGGAAGTAGACCTCTTCTTTAGTCCGCCGCCGCTTATTAAAAACCCAAAGATGTTGCTGGACTTTTCAGGTTTTGATGACCCACAAGATGCATTAGGATTAATCGTGAAACTTGATACATGTTTTAAGCCATCCTCCAAGATCTTGAGCCTTAGCTTGAATTTATCCTAAAGCATATTTTACATTGAATTTGAGAAATACTGAATTAAGATTCAACGTGACAAAAGGAAAAGATTTTAATTAAGCGAGCTATATGGTCAACAACTCAAATTTTACCTTAAGCTGTGCTTCTGCCTTTGCTGTTCTCTCTGACACGGCTAGTTTGTCCTTCAATCTTTGCATCTCTGCCTGTAAATACAGAAATTTAATTCAATAAAAAAAGAGAAGTTAATAAGTAATTGTAGTACCTTCATCATTATGTTTTGTTGATCAATAAGAGATTCATAATCCTTATATTTCTGAGCTTGTATCTAGCATATGTGCTTTAAATTTTAAGTTGCACTTATGTGGATTGATTTTTTGCTTAAGTATGCGAAAGGATTTCCAAGAACTTGGTTATGAAAGGATTACCTGCAGCAGCCTTCTGTCCTCCAGCCATTTCTTGACAGGCATTACTTTGTCGTTCTCATCCTTCCACTCACTAGCCACCACAGTTGCTAAGCGGTTTGCTGAAACTTTAACTCTTGCCAGCTCCCTCTCTAGCGTCCTTTTTTCCTCCTGAATAATTGATTCATTACATTTATTAACTATATGAACAGCAAACTAACATGAATCAGATTATCATAATTCTTGTAGAAAAGATGATCAGAATTTTAAGTCCCAATCCTTGAAATCAGCATGCAAGCATGGAACCTACATGAAGTTCAGAAATTTGTCGCTGATAGTCGCGGATAGAATTAGCAGCAGCTCCACCAGCCAAAATGGTCTCTTCAAGTTCCTGGATGGTTTGGCTTAGCTTTTCAACCTCTAAGACCTTTTGGCGATTGGTTTTCTCGAGAATTTTGTTCTCCTCCTGCATAAGGTACAATTTGATAGGCTAATAAAATTTTTGAATTCCTTTTACATAACCAAATACAGAATAGGATCGATGCTAAACTTACCTGGCAAATCTCAACCTGTCTCCTTAACTCAAAGTTCTGGTTTTGAACGTCCTCAACTATTAAAGCTCTTTCTAAAGCACTTCGCAAAATTCTCTCTGCTTCAAGCAAAGCTGACTCTTTTGACTTGCTAAGACGTTCCAAAGCCCTCTTATCCTCATGGAGTACTGCAATCTGATTTGCCAGAAGAGAATGGAATTGAGATTGAACCTAGTGATAAATTGGAGTCGTGTTTCGAAGCAGTACATAATTTCCTCTACAACCCTACCTCATTTTTATACATTTTAATCTCTGCCTCGAGAGGAGCAATGACAGACTCAATAGAAAGATCATCATCATCCTTTTGATTTGCATGCACTCTTCTAAGAATTGCTTCTGCAGCAAATTGTGCGGCCAGTGCATCTTTCTTCTCATTTATCAGTTTCTTGATTTCAAGGCTCTACATATGGGATTTAAGCACCACAAGTTACTAAATATGATAATACAGAATTCAATATCAATAAACTCCATGTAGAACTAGACGTACCTTATGTTGAAGGAGATTCTCAGTGACACAATGTTTCTCATCCAACTTTTGAACTTCACTCCGGAGCTGAAAAAGGAAATGAATAGCTTCAGCATTATATTTACAGAAGCCGATGAGAAACTTTATCCTGCAATTCAAATAATTCAGCAAAGCCTAGCGGCTTATTGCTCTCTTGTAATACTGAAACTACAGCATATATTGTTATTCATAAAGTAGCTGAAGCACTTGGCACAATGCCAGAAACTACAGTTAATTGCATTGTAAACTTTCCATGTGTGTATCAAATTCAAGTCCAACAGATGCTTTTTGCATTCAACATTTTCATTACCTCTTCTATAGCCTTATCTTTCAGCGCTTCAATTGCTCTCAAAGCCTTTATTTCAGCCTGAGCAGCTCCTAACTGCCGGTCCTTTTCTGGAATAATATTCACACAATGAGTAACATGACAGGTGTGGTGTTATAAATTAATTGTCAGTATTCATCCTTACCTCGTAATTCAGAGCTAACAACCATAAACATGTTTCAAAGTCAATAACACAAACAGTGAAAATATATTAGAGATAAGAACAATTCAAACCAAACGATTTCAGCCACACTGTTGTTTTGGCCAATATTTCTGTCACACTTGGTTTTTCATGCCCTGTTCTATTAGCGAGTAGTGAATATGTTAATCCAACAGACTGCCTCCAGCAGAATACCATTATCATGAATCCTCAGTCCTCACCTCAAATTCCCGCATTTCATTATCATGAGTTTATAATGGCACTAATTGATGCATGTTCTATTATGCCTTGAGGTCACTTGTGAAGCAGCCAATGTACGCTACTAATTAGCAATGGTTATTTCTATCATTAATAGTGAACTAAAGGTGTAAACATACGTTAAACAAAGAGAAAAATATACTAGTAGTAGTGGTAGTAGAATTTCAGAAAGAATCATTGACCAGTAATCAGAGAGACAAATAACAATCATCTGATCTCAAAGAGGAGGTTGGAGGCAAACAGTAAAACATGAAATGCAAAACCAAACCAACACCAGCATGCACGTGCTTGTGTGCTGTCTGTGTCTGTGTGAGAGAGTTGAAAAACAAAGTTGAAAGACCTTTGAGTTGGTTCTGCAATCGGGTGAGCTCTAACACAACAGGGTAAGGGTGAGCAAGAGAGAGCTCTTCGCCTCCAAATAGTTCCTGGTGACCCCTCATCGTTTATGTTTATGTTTTGACACTTTGTTATGCAAAAAGGAAGACACCACAGCAACGAAAACAAGAACAACGACAACAAAAAGACTGGGGTTGTTAGGCAAAAATATAAGGGGAGGGGTTGGAGTCCATCCCTTTTAAGGAATTGACCGCGAAGAGAGGAATATTGACCTTTCCCTTAATCTTAAGCAAATATTGAAAGCCACTTATCCTGAAGCCGGCATAGCCGGTTCTTTCATAGTTTTATTCTTAGACAGTACGGGTCACTTTCTTTCATTATATCGTGACAATGATTGCAAGTTTTAATTCCTTAACTAAATGATAATCCATCAATTCATTAAAACTTTTATTCTTTCCAAATATTCTGATTCATGAATTATGATGATAACTATTAATTTTATTTAATGAAATGACAACTATTGCTTTTGACATTTATTTATGTGGATTACAACATTAATTACCACCAAAACTAATCTCCATAAATTCTTCTTCACCGATAACTAATTAAATCCCCTATCTATATGTACAAAAATAGTTGGACTATATCCAATGCTGCACTCTTACTGTATGAAAGATAAATCTTAAATACTAATGGTTTAATAATAAGGAGATTAATCGCAAAATTAATTGATTATTTTGTTATGAATTGCAATGCTTGGTTGCCATTCTTTTCAAGACTCCGACACGAATCGTAGTAGCTATATGCTATTTTGATTTGCATACATTTAATTAATCAGAATACCCAAGAGAAAATTAGAAAAAAAGGTGAGATTTCTTTTCATCCTTTTCCCACTATTCATACCTCAATCAAACATAATAAGTACTATTTTTTTTTTATAAAATTATACATATAAATTACAATCATAATTAAATATTACTTCACTAAACAATCAACAAATAAACTAATTAATAAATTAAAGTATAACAAAATAAATTCAACGCAAAATTAAATCACACCCATTAAAGATATAATCGAACCGAGCAAAGATAATGAGAAGCTCGAACTTAACTCAAAATTTGATTTGAGCTCGATTCGAGAAGAAATTGAATTACTAAACCTTACTCAATTAAATTCTTTATCAAATAAAAAAACGAGTTTATTCTAATATTCGACTTCAAATTTGATTATTTTTATTCAAATTCGAGTTTGAATTTATATATATATATATATCAAAGGATAAAATAATAAATTTTAATTAAAAAAATAAAAATATATATTAAACTGTAAAAATTTAACTAAATTCACAAGTTACTGAGGTCAAACATTAAATTATTCAAACTAAACTTATTCGATAAGTCGAATTGTTTGAATTCAAATTCTATTCATAATGATCGAACAAAATTCAAATTTTATCTAAATCGAATATGAATAATTTATAAATATTAGTGTATCATTTACACTTCAAATATCTTACATACAATGAGGCTTGAAGGAGGGATATCGGAGGGATTTGCCCCATAGCCAGCCCATGGGTTATACATGCTATGTATAACAGAATAGTTGCAAGCATGCCTGGTTCTGGATCTAGACCGCTCATCCTTATTTTACATTGCTACCTAGTAACTACATTTATACAAGAGACGCTGCATCATTGGGATATCTCATAATGAAACCCTAACAACTATACCAGTATATTTCAGTTTTTGATCGATCTTTCGTGGGAAGATTAATTAATTATTAATTAGGTTCTAACTTTTGCGTCCAAAAGAATATTTGTTTTTCATTTAGCCGTTGTTTGTCACTTACTACCAACTTTTTGTTTTCTGGTAAGAGGGGATGGAAAAACATTCCTTTTTTTACTGGTGGTTGTTTTCTAGAAGAAAAAGAAAGAATTGAAATTGAGCGAGAAAATATGAAAAATGACTGGGACTTTGGAGAAGTTAGATAATTTTTCTTTGCTTATGAATTTTCCCTTTTCGTCCATTTAATTTCTGCTTGAGCAAACAAAATATTTAAGTCCTCATCATCATCATCAGTAACGAAATCGATTCAATTAGATGAACAAAGAATTGAGAGAATCATTGAGATTTTTGGTCATGTCGCTACGTTGATGGAAAGCTCTTCCTATGGAGTAGTAGGATTCCTTGAGCGCTAAATATTGCTGAAACCAAGGCGCCTAGTGTTTATGCACTCAAAACGCAGTTTGAACTGATACAAATTAAGTTAATGAGGTATTGATGACTCTCAACTGAAAGTGATAAAAGTGGCAAGAAAGAACAATCTCAATTAATATTCGTATATTAGTTTGTATTTATACGTATGACAAAATATCATCTCATCTTTGCTTAAAAGTATGATTGATATATATGCAAGGAAAAATTAATATATGAAGCTCCGATCCAGCTGTTATTAAGCCATTTGGCAATTGTTAAGATATTACGTGGTGATTACATAGGCGACAAAGGGGAGACTCTACCGCCCCCACCAACACCCATAAATCCTTTAAAGTAGAGAAAAGACCATAACCAAACCTGATCAATACAACCATAACAGTCAAATATGATTTTGATTAAGATAAAAAGGGGGTTTTTGATGTTAATCATAACTTAATTGAATTCTCCACTAATCTTGCTTTGAAAGTGATGTCAATTGCGATCAAGCTAAGCTTCCAGTGGTCTTTTCTTTTCTTTTTTTTTTTCTGTTTCTGATAGGTTTGAGTTGGTAAATTATTGTTGATTGCTCTTGCAGTTAAAGGAGTCTTGCATTTTTGTAGTTATGGGTCCCTGCTTGTATGAACTTAACGGATAACTGATCAATAAAAAAAGGGCATCTTTTGGTGCTGATTGGTACCATCAACGGCAATTTTTCAGACAAACTTGGTGGAACTCAGGGGATTAGCTTGGGTTGAGACCTGACGAGGGAATCAATGTCGTAACGTGTTCACCTAGGGCTCTAGGCCTTTCTGCCGTATCAGAACTTTTAAGGGTAAGGCAGTTGGCCCATCCCTTCTGTCCGCTTACTTGCCTGTCTCTCCAAAACAATTGAAGCTCATTATACGTTCGACATTTAGCAATTATGGGCCTTACAATTGTGATGGCCCATGCCGCCTCCCATCAAAAAGGGCAGGTTTGAAGGCCGATCAAGGACCCATTGATGTTCTAGGGCATCTCTTAACTCTTAAGATCTGCGTGTTTACTTTGTATTTTTTTTTTGTATTTATTTGATAGAATATTAATTGATCAAAGAAAAATTATTTGCTGATCAGCAAAAAAATAAAATTATGTTTTTAAAATTATGTTTTTCTTTTTTTAAAAAAGAAGATAACTAAAAAAAAGCTGTTTATGGATAAACTACTTAGTAAACTCGTGAATACCATTTATTCATATTTGGATTTTGAATATGATTTTTTTCAAGTTTAGACTTAATTTAATCCGACCAAAAATATTATATTAATAAAATATTTTTATTTAATTTTACATAAAAATTAAAAAATTAATATTAAAAAATCTTCTAATATTTTAATTTTAAAAATATTTTTATAATTCTACTCAAGTAAGACTTGGAATATGATATTTTAAGTTTAAATTTGATTTAATTAGATATGAAATATTATTATTTTAATAAAACATTTTTATTTAATTTGAATTCAAAATTTTAAATATTAACATTAAAAGTCTTTTGATATTTTAATTTTAAATATTTCTATTTTGTATATTATCAAACATAAATATTTTTAATATTTCAATAATAAATACTATTAAATTATTATTTTAATAATAAATAATAATATATTAAATAATATTTTAATTATTTTAATAATTAATATAAAAATGTTAATATTATTATTTCATAAAATGTATATTTTTTAATAATTTATTATTATTTTTCAATTTAAAATATATTGTTTTTATATTTTATTTATCAATGTATTTATATTATTATTTTAATAATAAATATAAATAAATAATATTTTTGTTTTATTTTAATAAAAATACTGTCTATATAAAATAAAAATATTTTAACAGTTTAAATATTTCTAATAATTTAATAATAAAAATGATAAATATAAATAATAAATAATTTTTTTAAGCATTTTTATATTAATATAAATTTTAATATTAAATATTCTTATTAAAATATAAATTTTTTGAATATTAATAATTTTAATAATAAATAATTTCAATATATTTTAATCATAAACAATTTTTAATATTTTAATAGTTACATTAATATTATTTGACACAAGAAAATTTAATTTTTCAGAAAATAACCAAATAACAAAAAATGTTTTTCATTAATTTATCCAAATAACAAAAAATATGTTTTGGAATCCAATTTCTATGAAATAAACAAAATCTTAAACTTAATAGGGTGTTTGGATTGGGAGAAATTAATTTTTCATCTCAAAATCCTATTTTTTATAACTTGATTCATTGGTTTAGTTTACAAAAATTTGATTATTGAAATTTTAAAAATTCTCAATAGTGCTAAGAGTGAAAAAGTAGGGAGGAATGAAAAAACTCTCATTTCTTGAGATTTTTTAAGATTTTGAAAAGAAAGTAAAGTTTTTTCCCTATTTGTTCTTAATTTTATTTTCAGATTACATAACAACATTATTTACCTCAGAAATGTAATAATTTTTTATAAAATATTATGAAAATAAATTTTTTTCTAATTATTTTTTAAAACAAAGATCATATTTTTAAGATAGTGCTATTTAAATCCCAACAAAAGTTATGATTAAAAACATGATTTTTATTGAAAAGATAAAAAAGTTATTTTTCATAATTCAACAAAAATTGTTTTTAAAATTAAAAAACTTGGTCTTTGTTAGAAATATCAACAAAAATTATTTTTTAGAATTTAACAAAGATGACGTTTTAAAGATAAAAAAATGCATTTTTTGTTAAAAAGATGATATTTTTAAAATAAAAATGCAGTGTTTGTTGTAAATATGAAAAAAATATTTTTCAAAATTTAACAAAAATAACATTTCTGAAATTAAAAAAAAACATAGTTTTTATTGAAAAAGCAATGTTTTAGGATAAAAACAAAATTTTTGTTGGAAACATGAAAGTATACAGCATTTCTAAAATAAAAAATGTAGTTTTTGTTGAAAATATAAATAAAAATATAGTTTTCAAAATTCAATAAAGATAATGTTTCTAAAATAAATATGTAATCTTTGTTAAAAAGATGATGTTTCCGAAATAAAAATGTAATTTTTATTGAAAAGATGACATTTTTAAAATAAAAACTTAGTTTTTGTTGAAAACATAAAAAATATATTTTGATAATTCAATAACGACGAAGGTTTTAAGATAAAAACAT